TGTGTGTGTGTGTGTGCGTGCGTGCGTGTTTGTAAGTGTGTGCCTGTGCGCTTGTGTGTGTTTGTGTGTGTATGTGTGAGTATGTGTGTGTGTGTGTGTGTGTGTGGATGCCTGCGTGCATCTATGTATATGTATGCCCATCTACCTTTCTTTCCTGCGTCTCTTTTTCCTAGAAACTATGTTCTCTCTCATGATGTCTCTCTTTCACTTTCTTTCTCCCACATACTCCCACTCTTCTGTTTGTTTCTCTCGCTCTGTCTATTCCCCCTCTCCCTTCCTCCCCCCCCTATCTCCCCTATCTCCCCCCCTCTCTCTCCCCCGATCTCTCCTTCCACCCCCACTCTCTCTCATTAAAGTTGGCATATTTACAGACCAGAATCCGCCTCGATTAGCCAACTGTACACCCATTATATGCCAATACTCAGTAATTACCCTCCCTTAATTCACCCTTAAAGCATTAACTACCCAGACGCCTTTATCTCAATCTTAAACTTAAAGGTGGCGTTTTAGATGGCGAGAGTTAGTTTTTAAGCTTCCCTTTCTATCAAGAGTGTAATTATAGTTTGTGAGTCTTGGTGGGTGCTCTGGTGTGGTTTGCTCATTCTTACCTGTCAAACATCTATCGTCCCTATCTCTCCTTATCTGTTTTTGTGTTTGTTACTCTATTAAAAGACATCTCATCTTCAGCATTTGTATGACCTTATTGTGTTGTAAGTGCCGTAAAAATTTTACTTAAAAAATGAAACAAAACATTTTGTTGTAATAGTTGTTTCTTGTTGGGTTTTTTTGGTGTTTTTATAACACCAACTGGCATCCCTCCAAAACTACCCGCAGTGGTGGTGTTAGGGTTGCGCGCGTCGATCTTGCTTTCAGAAGACCCTGGTGCAATTCTCGATTTGTGACAATTAAATTTTTTATTTTTTTTTATAGAGCCTCCTGGTCTTTCTGTTTTGACGTTGTCTCCCCATCAGTTCGGGTCAGAATATCCCCAGTTTCTCCTTTTTATGGTGATATTGTTACCTTCAATTCCAGATCTGTCCAACACTTTATATTTTTGTAATACGATCATTCATTTATATTAATAATAGAATTCTCCGGAAACGTGTCGTTAAAAGGATTTTAACTTTCGCTGAATCCTTCTGTTTGGTTTCCATTTCTCTAATCCAAATGCCAGTATCGCCCAAAATTTGCTGTTATGATTTGGTTGCTTTTAAGAATAAGCGGGCTAACCTAGGTTTCCGGGGTTTCCAGAAACCTTGACCTACACCAAAAGTGGACCTTGCCCTACCTATAGGAGAAGTTTTGTTTCATTGGTGTGTTTATCTGTTTGGTTATAGAGAAAACTCTCCTTGTATTTTAAAGAAACTAAACAAGGGGCAAAAACTTTACTTTCGATTTTCTCAAAACAGCTTTTTTCAGGATAGCCCCCTTGTACTTAAAAGCGACCCTTTTACTCCCTTACCTACCGAAAGCAAATTATTTATTTTCAACTCTTTAGACAGAATAAAATAGGGTATATAGTATCGTTTTCTAGGAATACTAGGTCCTAAATAAAAACAGACAGTATCTATCTATCTATCTATCTATCTATCTATCTATCTATCTATCTATCTATCTATCTATCTATCTATCTATCTATCTATCTATCTAT